ACCTCAGTGACATTGATGCAAAAGTTTTGGAATGCAGTGGTTGTTTCCATTAAGCGAATGGAGCAAAATCAGTCTAGCATGCATTGTTCTCCTAGCAAACAGCCTGAGGATTTCCTTAAGAGCCGGTATGTGGGAATACTACAGGAGCAGGAGAAAGAACACCAAGGAGAAAGTTTTGTAAGAGTTCCTTTGCTCGTCAGCCATCTGATTTACATGGTGTCAGCTCATCACCAAAGTTCTTGGTAGGCTTTTGCTCATATGCCTGAAACTTTGCACATGTGGAGGTTTTAACACAATATTACTTGTAGAAACTTCAACAGATTAGCCTGAGCTGCATGTGACTGTCATGAACTCTTAACAAACCAGGGTACTGTGAGGTCCTCAGGAATTTCATCTTTCCTTTGTTACTTTTCATATCAGCTTCTAGAGCGCTCAGTAAATGCCCTCTGAGCAGGAGGAGAGAATCGAGGGACAAGGATTGTGAGTTCTCTTGACTGCTGAGGGTAAAGGAAGTAGAATGCTATGTAAGTGTTTTCCTCTCAGTAGAGAAGAACAGGGCGCTGGGAATGTGTGATTAAGCTGAGACAATTGTTAAAATTCATTGCTGATGGTAAAAAGAAATAATAACAGACTAGCTTTTTACAGTTCCTTTTCAGGTGGACCAAATTTTTTCTTCAGACTTTCCTTGTCAGGAATTCAGCCACATTCACTAAGTACTGCCCAAGCCAGGCTCTAGACTCCGGAACTTTCAACATGAATAGGCCTTGCTCAAAAGAGTAGTCAAAATCAAATGGAGAATAGCCATTGTCAATGCCAGTTTTTCATGCCAAAATATTTTTGTGATATTAGTTGAGGTGCAATGACAAAAATACCTTCTTTATTAAAGTTCTCATGTGATTCATCTCCTGTGCAGGCTTATGTTAGAAAGGCAGGTGTGTCCATACCACGGGAAAAACGAAATTCTAGATGGACTGTAGATTTAAATGTGAAGCAGTACAGATTCTAGGTGAAAATGCAGATGATCTTCATGACTTGAGGGTAGGCAAAATTTTTTAAATAGGAACCCAAATATACTAACCACAAAGGGGGGAAATGGACAAATTTGACTATAGTAAAACAAAGACTCTCAGTTCATTACAAGATTATCAATAAGAAAATGAGGTCTATGGAATGGGAGATTTTGCAATACAAATATTACAAAAAGACTTGCATATAGATTATGCAGAGACCATGTACAAGATAAGATAGACTTTTTCTTTTTACTTGGTAGACTATCCAATAGAAGTATGTGAAATAGGCTTGAGTAAGTACTTTAGAAAGGAAGATGTTGGTTGTCTTGCTTGGGGGTAGTGTTTAGAAGAGGCCACAAGACTCTTCTGCACTTATGGTAACAATGTGGGTTACTTGGATGTGTTTACTTTGTGAAAATCCTTCAAATTATGACCTGTGCATTTTTCTGAAGTATGTGCATTATACTTTCATTGAAAAAGTTTACATAAAAAGTCCTGGCTGTGTTGTCCAGGATGAGGAATGTAAGCAAAATATTTTCAGAGGTTCACACTAACTGCAAAATAGATTTCAGCATTTAGAATTGTCTCTACCATGGAAGCAGAGGAAGTGTTAACAGCATAGGGCTTTGCAAGGAGGCTAGAGCAGGTGCAGTTTGTGAAATGGTCCTGCATGTGGAGTAGCAGCATCTTGAACTGCTACAAGGTCTTTAGCCGCTGATATTGTGAGAAGGGAGAAGGAAACAGAAACAATTATGGAGAAAGCACCGAGAAGCTTGATTACTTTCCGATTTTGTGAATGGTTAACTCGTTCTGTAATCCTATTTAAGCCCCACAATTCATTGATCCCTTTATCTTGTACCAGACACTGGGCATTAAAAAACTTGAAAATTTTCACCAGCAACAGTTGTTGAAGAGACTGTCTATTCTCCATCATATGTTTTTGGCATCTTTGTCAAAAATAAGGTAGGCCTGGCTGTGCGCATTCATATCTGGGTCCTCTATTCTGTTCCACTGGTCTTCATGTCTGTTTTTGGCCAGTACAATGCTGTTTTTATTGCTATTGCTTTGTAATATAGTTTGAAGTCAGGTATTGTGATATCTCCAGCATTGCTCTTTTTGCTGAGTATTGCCTTGGCTATTCGCGGTCTCTTGTGTTTCCAAATGAACTTCAGGGCAGATTTCATTCTCTGTGATGAATGTCATTGGGATTTTGATGGGAATTGAATTAAACATATAGAATGCCTTTAGTAGTATAGCCATTTTTACTATGCTGCTTCTGCCAATCCATGAGCACAGGAGATCTTTCCATCTTCTGTAGTCTTCCTCGATATCTTTCTTCAGAGGTTTGTAATTTTCCTTGTAGAGATCATTCACAGCCTTTGTTAAGTTTATTCCTAGGTATTTGATTTTTTTGAGGTTATTGTCTTATTATCGCTGATGTCTTCTCTTCAACAAAATTGGAGAAGAATGCAGAACAAGTTCTGCCTGGAAGCGAGGGGAGTTGGGGGGAGGCAGAGGGGGTGGGAGGCAGGGGGAGAGATGGCCCAAACAATGTATGCACATATGAATAAATGAATAAAATAAATAAATAAATAAATTTAAAAAAAGAAAAAAATTATCACCACAATCTGAGAGGTATGGACTATATTATACAAATTTACAGATGAAGGAACTTGGCCTTTGAGGAGAATAAATAACTTGCCTAAATTCTAGTGAGAAAGTAGTAGTAAGCTGCAACTAGAACTCATGAACGCGTGATTAGAAAGCCCACCCTCTTGACATGTCTGTTATGTTGTCTTGTTTTTAAGCCAGTTTTATTTGATTGAGCATAATAAGAAGAAATGTATTTAATATATGCCATGTTCCAATTTGATGATCAGAAGAACTTCTCAAACTGCTTTTAAAGTCTGAAGTTTGCTGCAGTATAGGTTTTTATGAAGTGGCATTTTTCTTTTTCGATTGTAACATGATAAGGAATGGGACAGGGGATGGGATAATATGAAACAGCTCAGACTGTGGCCTGCACGAGTGACCACGGGTCCTTCTCAACACTTTAGAGACATTTTAATAACCTGAGTAATTGCCTATGATAGGCAGACTTTGTTTTCTGCTTATTAATGACTGTGCAGGCTCGATTTTATTCCTCTTACCACTAATTCACATGCAGAGATATATAAAATGAATGTTGCCGACTGATTGCCACATCACTGTCTGCATACCAATGCTCTCCTGCCTGCTTGGATACAGACAGAAAGGAAGGAGAAGGAAAGCAAAAGGATGTGACAGGGAACGTGTGATACCTAACTTGGTTTTAAAGGCTGAATTATGGCAGAGAAACTGGAATTTTGACATAAGTAAATGGTTGACATCTGTGCATGGTTAGGATTTTTGGGATTGTCCTACTTGGCGTACACATGTCCTCTTTTTCTCTTCATGTGATACACGGTATACCTTGGGAGCATCCACAAGTAAATATTTAATACTTACAGTTCTTTTTTTCTTCCTGTGGCTTGTTTTTCAGTCCTCACAGCACTCATGGTTGCAGTCCATGGAGTGTTTATAGCATCAGAAAGAACATCATTACAACCCTAAATGAAATTGGGAATATTTACTTCCAAATGTGTTTCCCCAACAGTCTAATTACTACACAAGCACCATGGTGGAAAGGCACATGATCTGATTTGAATGGGAATATATGTGGATATGGTTTTAGAGCTTTCTGTTTATTTTTTTTAAAAAATCTCCCTTCTTTATCCCCAGGGCTAGTTATCCCACTTTTATTGCTGTGACGATACACAGAAAGAAGCACCAAACAAACTGAAATCATTGAAAACACCCACATCCAACCCAACTTTAGTTTGCCGGAATCTATCTAGTTCCATAGACTTGTTTTTATGTACAGGTACTTATTAAAAAAAAAGCTGGATAGGAACTCTGGAGTGCAGTTTTTGCAGTATAGAACTTCTAGTTTAGAAATAGATTCCTCTTCAGGGAATACATAATTATTTATCAATTTGATTAGCATTGTACATTTTGTCTTAAAGTTATTCAAAGAACTGTAGTTAACCCACTTTTATTGCTGCTAGGTTGTTTCTCCAAATGTCTTGACAACAGCAGTTTGACTCGTCAGAATAAGCAGTGCTGCAGTCACCATAGGATCTTTCAGCTTTGCCCTTATATTGCTAAATTGATCCTCTCAAGTATTAGAGCTACTCTTTTTATTGCACACGTTTGTTTCCATTGAGTCCCGGCTTTCCTCTTTTCTTATTTAATGAAAGAGTGACAACTGTCATTTTTCACTTTTAAATAATAGTAATTAGTGATTTTATAAATAGGAAATCATTTTCCATGTGGGCCTGGCAACCATTTCCATGGCCTCATTTAAATGGCTGGGACTTTGCATGTGTAAATGGGTAAGTTTTCAGGCAATTTGGGTAGGTTTTCCAATTTTGCCTATTTCCTGTCTAAACAACTTCTTCCATGTCCACAGCGTGTTTATGCAGCATTGAATAAAACTTCTAATGGAAAATTTCTTCCAGGTGACCTCCCTGAGAGGCTGGGCTGTGAAAAAAATCTTAAGAAATTCAACCCTGATGAAATTGCCTCCGTTGAGAATATTGCTCGGTACAGAAACAAGAGACCGAATTCAGTTATTTTTGGTTCTGAATAAATGAATTCTGCTCCCTTTTTGTGTAGGTGGCAGAAGAAATTAACCCCTGTAGAAGATCCAGTCTCAGTTGGAAATTGAACTTTGGGTTTCTTTTGAGTTAGGAAAGCCCTGGATAAGAGAATGTTAAATTGTTTTTATTTGGACCTCAGGCAACTTGGAGTTGGTTCTGCTGTCTGCATGTCTATTACAGATCTGTATTTTCCGGGGCTCTCTGTCTTTACATTTAATTTTCTGTAGGCTAAGACTATGATTATTGACTGACCTCCAACTTGGCACCACATGTGGGCGGATACTAATGAATCCTTTCTTAACTTTCCCAGCACTTCTAGAGAAATCAATCAGTAGAAGGCGGGACATTGAAGCCATACAGAAAGCCAAAATCCTTTATTCATCTTGCATGAATGAGAGTGAGTAATAACAAAAATAAATAAAATATTTACCACCCTTATCCTTCAGAAGTCTATAAATGTTTAAAGGTATTGTTTAAGGAAGAGAACTCAAAATTCTATTAATGTTTAAAGATGTTATTTAAGGAAATGAACAATTCTCAAAGACTGGATTTTGACTAATCTTTCATAGTTAATCTTTTGTGGCTGGCTTGATGGAGCAAATAATCTTATTTCTACAACTGGGATTATTTGGGTATCAGTCACTCAATGGGAAACTCAGCTAGGGCATCAGGGCAAACTCTTATTGTACCTAGTACACAAAGAAGAATTCAGAGCCAGGCCAGTTTTGGTCTGGAGAGGCTGGGAGGGAGTATACTGGGGAGAATTGGTATGCTCCAATTGACCTACTGGAACCTAGAGAATTCTAGATTCCCAGGTGGGCTTGGCTCAGTTGTCAGTTTAACTAGAGTCTTTGTTGGGAGACAAAGGCATTAGGTCTGGATTTTATCATCTTGGGTCTGCTTTTTCAAGGCTGTTGCAGAAAAAAGCCAGTGCTTCTGGGAAGGGCATTAATTGGTTTAGGGTTTGGGGGTGAAGCTAGAAGTGGGCAGCAAAAGACCAGAGTCTGAAGCATTAATTCATTTAGTGGGGGAGTGATTGACTTTACTAAGTTATTCCTTTTAGTTAGGGTTATTCTTGGTGTGATCAAGTACTATCAGCTTTGCTTCATTCATTGGCTGGGATCAATGTAGTGAGCCTATCTCTGCTGTAGGAAATATCCACCAGGTTCCTCAGTCAGCTTTCTTGGCAAAACCACTGGGTTTAGACAGACACAATTGTGTGTGAGTCGTGGGTAGCTTTGCCTTTGTGGTTATGCTCAACCCACCCCACCTCTTCAACCTTCTCTTTAACCGCTGAAAATTCAAGTTGGGGCCTTTTGGAAGTTTTCTCTTGAGAAGATGAGCTTGCGTTCTAGTTTGATGATCCAGTTTGAAAACCTAACTCTCCATTCATATCTGTTCCCTTTCAGAAGCAATTGAAAAAGCAGATGCCAAGCCGCTGCTCCGCGTCCTGCGGCACTCACCTTTCCGGTGGCCCGTGCTTGAAGCTAATATTGGTCCTGAAGGGGTTTGGTCAGAGAGAAAATTTAGCCTGATGCAGACCCTTGCAACATTCCGTGGTCAATACAGTAACTCTGTGTTCATCCGTTTGTATGTGTCCCCTGATGACAAGGAGTCCAATGAACACATCTTGAAGGTATAGCCAGGGCTCTTTGTTCAGTCTGAGATTGGTCTTTGGGGTGGCTTCCTCGGGAAAGAAATTCATGCTGCCTGAGTGAAATGATAAATTCTGCTGAACACTGAGGTCTGGAATATACCCCTCTCCAAGATTTGCAGAATGTACATCATTAGTAAAGAATTTCTGTCAACCTTTCAGGAAACCTGTGAATGAGTTTCAAGTGATCTGTGATCTTGTAAGGGGCCCTTAAACTCTGGTGGAGAGAGGGCTGTGAATCTCCTGCTGTTCCAAAAGACTTTCTGAACTCTGCTTTTTCCCTCACCTCCTCATTCCCCTGACAGAGGAGGTTCCCTTTTCTTGCCTACATGCCTACATTCTCATTGTCAAGTTCAATCTGAATCTCTTTCCTTTCAAAAGTCAAAGCAAAACTTCTTTTAAGTACCCAGTTGTATTTTCTATTGGGGAAATAAATATCTCTTTCATAAAGGAGTGGGCTAGACAGATGTGCCCCGAGGTAGATCATATTGGTACAACCAGGAGGTTGGCAGAAAGCCACCAACAACAAATGATTCATCAATGAAAGAGCTTTGTAAGAATTCAAATAACATTTCTCAAATCATTCTGTGCTTTGCTCCTACAGGGTTTTCTTTTCCTTCCACAGTTACTTTGACTAGTAATAATAATAATATTCCTGAACGTTGATTTTTCTCCTAGTTCTGTCCTTTGTTAAACCAGAAAATAGTAACGACATATTGACATTCAAATCATAGAAGTATAACACCATTACAATGTATTGCCCTCACCAGATAGAAGTCAACCTTCCAAAATCCAAACCCTGGCATTTATTTTTTGAGTTAGGCAAGAAATTGGCAATGCTCCTTCTGTTAAAGACCAGACATAATACACAGTGGAGGTTTTGCAGTCGTACCTGGGAAAGCAGCCCAAGACAATGAATGGGTGTGGCTATTTGGCAGGATGGCCCAAATGCTGTAGTTTTCTGACCTTTAGTTTAGACGGTGAAAATCTCAATAAAAATCTTTGGTCATTGAAAGAATTCCCATCTACTCAGAAGGAAATTCTCAGTTTCCAGGATAGCTTGTATTTCTGTGTGGAGTGATGAAACATGGTATTGAGCTACCTTCTAATGCTATCAGGGTAAGACAGGCTAAGTGAGACATTGACATTGGCCTCTGTCCCTCTGTTTTTTTTTTTAAACTGAGATTTTAAGATTATCATTCTCATTTCCAGAACTGTTATGATAGTCTTCCAAACTCTTTAGGTTGCGTTTTGAAATAAGTTGGACATTGTCTTTCAAACTTAAGTTCACACACTCAATTGGGTGATAAAAGATCTTGATTCACACACTGATTACAAATGGCAACTATTTTTTAACCAATTACTAGACCTACTGAAATAATTGAGCTAACTTCTTTTAATACTATGTTATAGAAAAGAACACACACAAAAGTAAAAAGGATACAATAACGAACACCCATGAACTCATCACCTAGCTTCAATCCCCTCAACTTTCTGCTATTCTTACCTAAACTCCTCATTTTTATGGGCTAGAACATTTTATAGCTCATCTAAAATATACTACCAATGCACTATGAGTACTTCATTACATTACTCTTCTCACAACCGAAAAAGCAATCTTAATTCATAACTAATGTCTAAAACAAGTTAAAATTCAGACTGATATCACCTGAATCCAAATACAAATGCTAGCATTGCTGAAAATGGGGCAACCAAATATCACTTGCCTTCTGATACCAATTAGACATATGCACCATAACTGCAATGTTTTGCCAAAAAAGAGAACCTTAATAAAGCCTCTAGCATTATTACCAATTTATAGAAAATACAGGAAACAGGAACATGGTATAAGCTTGCTCACACAGCTAATACTCAATTACACTGACTCTAGAAGGACTAAATTGTCAATAATAGAACACTTTCAAATGTAAGTAAGGAGGCACTCATGTGCTTATTATGGTTCTCCTTTGCCAGCATGGAAGCTTGTTACAAACTGAAATGTTTGAACATTGCTTGGCATTTGACTACAGCACACAGTTTTAGTTCTGGCCCTGTTTGTGCTATATTACATGAGTGAATATTCACTATGAATTAACCACTTTCCTCCAAATGAAATAGAGCTACAGTCTTCCTGATTATGATGCAGCTAACAAGAAGTTCAAGGGATGGCAGGAAAAGCTTTACTCTGAGATGTGCATTTAACTCAATGGAATCAGACAACAAAAATCAGTGTATTGGTGACTGCCAAAACTGTAGAATTCATGTGTGTGTTTCTTTCCTTAAAATTAGGTGTAAAGATTATTATGTTAAGTGAAATAAGCCAGTTCCATAAAGACAAGTATGGCATGTTGTCTCTCATTTGTGGAAGTTAGGTTGGGAAAAACCAAGGCCATGAAAGTAAAAGGGGGATGATGACTAGGGAGATAAAAGGGGAAGGGAAAAGGAGGAGAGGGCAAGGGGGATAAGAAAGAATAATAGAGCGGTGAGTATGATCAAAGTACATTACATGCATGTGCAGATGTGTCATAATGGAACCCCTTAATCTTTGTACAATTTATTATACACTAACCCAAAAGTTTAAATCATAAAAACCCAAATCTATTTGCATGAACATTTGGAACCCCCAAATCCCTTTTAGGTTTTGTGAACATAGTTTGAAAACCACCAGTGTTAAGGAGATTAAGTTTCTCAGTTTAGCTTTAGGATTTACTTAATATCTTTGTGCAAATTGTTTCACCCCTGAGTGTTGCTTTCCCCATGTGCAAAGAAGGGAAAATGAGAATTTCCTGTTCACTGTTGCTGTGAGGTTTAAATGGCCCAAAGTTTGTGAGTTTCCAGGGAAGATATAGTCCACAGTGGCACATGAGAAAAAGTTCACTTCTCTTGGTGCATGACCTAGTATCCGATCAGGACCATTTGAGGGCTGCTTCTCTTTAATTTGTGTACCTGGCATGCCTGTCAGATCTCAAATTTGTCTGTGAAGAAATAAATAGGCATTTTTTTCAGTCAACCTAGTCTTTGACCTCAAGTTTGACCGCACCTTTTGCTGGGAAACTGAATGTCAGTCTAGGTACTCCCCATACCTTTCTGGTCTCTCCATTTCTCAACCTTCCCCTAGAATACTGGGGAACCATCTAGTCATCTGGTATCAGAGAATCAACCCCCTATAAAACCCACATGGCTCTTTCAGGTGTGCCTCTCTGATTTTGAGGTGCTGAGTCTCTTTTTCCTCTGAGAAATTGCTATACTTTAGGGGCACCAGCTGTTCCTTCTGCTCATCAGAGCCAATGAGTTCTTTTGCTGCCTTGGAGAGCCACTTTCTGCTCTGGGAGAAATCTCTCTCACCTCAAACTCATGTCCCTCAAAGCATTTAGGCTTCCTATTCTACCAAATCCTATTTTCTTCAGTGTTCTTAGCTTTTTGAATCCCATAAACCCACAGGAATACTAAAAAGGCCTCCTTCTGGGCAGGCACAACACTGTGTGCTTACTGTTGGGTGAGCATATGGTACCTCTGGGTGAAGAAAAAGGCCCCCCTTCCAATGGGCAGATATGTCCCCATCCCCAGGATAGGCAGTTTGGTCCACCCAATGGCCCTTGGCAAAGCTCCCCTGTGGTGAGATGGCACAGGATTTGCTATGGGCTTAAATGGGAGAAAGGAAATTAAAAAGTACAAGAAATGACAGAAGCGAGTTCCCTGAAACATTTCTTGCTACATGTGTTTGGGCTTATTTTCTGCCTGGAGATAGCAAGAAGGGATTTAAGGGACAATAAAAGACTTGAATACCATGTTTGTGATCCTGAAAGACTATTTGGAAGGGTTGTCCTAGTATAAAACACAACTTAAAGTCATCCTCACTCAGTGGCCTATATTTTTCTGGCTCTCAAAAAATTTATTATGGCAAGGAGAGAGTCTCTTAGAAATGAAGTTTCCCTAGTTTCTGTCTTCCACTTCCCTACATCATAATTTGTCAGGTGTTTCTTTTTGTAGCACTAGTTTGTCTTTTGACACGAAGCTTATCATAATTGGAGTATTAGTTGTAATTGGAGAAAAAGAATTCATATTTTCAGTTCACTGTATTATAGTCCCTAAAATTACATTTCTTTTGGATTTTTTGAGGCAGGGTACTATGGATTTGGGGGGTATTTTTGGATTTTTTGGGATAGCAAACTATGTAGTCTAGGCTGGCCTTGAACTCACAATCCTCCTGGTTTAGCCTCCCAAGTACTGGGATCAACATTTTATTTTACTTTCTACTTTCAATAGTCAGATCAGTTTTAAGTGAAAGGATTTTAAAAAACCTCAAATGAAGCAGTGTCCTAGTGTTGGCTTCTTGAGAAAGACCTTGCCTCAGGAGTTTGTATGTTTGTAATGAGATTTAGTTGACTGGCCTTATTCAATCTGTTGGCATATTTAAAATGTTCCCTAGAAACCATAACAATCTGAAGGTTTATGAAAGGTCTGCTAACCTCACTTGAATTATCCAAACTTTTACCATAAGTGGGTTTAACTTTATTTCATGAGAGGAAATGTTGGCCTTCTTGATATTATCTACACCGTTTCCTTTCCTGTGAGACTGAAGCTCACGAGTCATCAAGTGTTCCAAATTTAACTGAAAACCAAAGCATCTTAATCAAAATATTTTGTTTCTTGATTCTGGTTTACTTAATTTTTGGAAGCAATGATGATAGATTGGGAATCGCAGTAGGATGAAGCCAGGCTGGCTTGTGACTTGGTTGTTGCAGGCCAGTTAGAGAAGAAGGTCAAACAAAATAATTGGAGGATTTGAGCAATACACACAGATGTGATAGATGTTTTGAAAGCATTCCCCCCAAAACAATAGCAGTTTTGAGTTTTACATAACATTACTAACTCTTAACTTGGCCTCTTCTGGAATTTGTTGTATATGAAGCGCATTTGAATGGAAAACTAGACTCTTATATGGACTTCATATATTTAAAAAGAGTAAAAGATTTGAGATTATCATAAGAATGGAGAAGAAACCAGAAGGAAATGGATCAAAACAATTTAAAGTCATATAAATTGATGATATGGACATGTAGGATTCAGCTTTTTTCAGATGGTACTACATTTTGATTTGTTATTTAGATTTTGTATCTTGTTAATTCAGCTTAACTTTTCAATATGTGAACCAGAGAAAGAAAGAACAAGCAATAGATTTAGAGAAGATGTTGGAAACTCTTTTCTTTCTTTCTTTTTTTTTTCCAGTAGTGGGGTTTGAACTAGTACAAACACCTGGAGCTACTTCACCATCACTTTTTTATAATAGGTCTTTTCGAGATAGGGTCTCTAGAACTATTGCCCAGGCTGGCTTCAAACTGCAATCCTCCTGATCTCTGCCTCCTGAGTAACTAGGATTATAGGTGTGAGCCACCAGCACCAGGTGTTGGAAGCTTTTAAAAATTCAATTTATATGCAGTTATGATGTACATGTCTGTACATTTTGATAAATTCACAGAATCATGTAACTGCTACCAACATCAATAAATAGAATTACCCCCACTCCAAATTACCTCCTGTTACCCCTTGAAGTTAACCCTTCTTCCCATCCTGAAACCCTGGCAATCAGCACTCAGTCGTCTAGCCCTGTAGCTTTACCTTTTTAGGATGTAAGTAAGATTCACCTATGTTGTTGTATGTATCAGTAGTTCATTCCTTTTTATTGCTGTGTAGTAGTCTGTGTATCACAGTTTCTTCATTCAGAATTGTAGGAAATTTGGGTTGTTTCCCTTTTTTTATTATTATGAACAAAGTTATATATAGGTTCTTTTCAATATAAGTTTTCATTTCATTTCTCTTGAGTAAATACCTAGGAGAGGAATTGAGGAGTCATATGTAAATGTACGTTAACTTCACATTTAAGAGAGCTCGCTCTCTCTTAATATCCCAACCATATTTTCATGTGCTTATTTTCTATCTGCATATCTTCCTTGGTGAAGAAGTGTCTGGATATTTTGTCCACTTTTAAATTGATTTATTTTCTTATTTTCAAGAAGACTCTTCCTATATTCTGAATCTAAGTCCTTTTTTATACATATCATCTTCAAATATTTTCCTATTCTGTGGCTTGTTTTTTCATTCTCTTAATATCTTTCACAGAGCAAGGTTTAAAGCTTGATGAAGTCCAATTCATTAGTTTTTTCCTTTATGGATTGTGATTTTAATATCATGTCTAAAACTCTTTATAGTTTTAGGTTTTACATTTAGGTCTATGATCCATTTTCGGTTAGTTTTTGTTCAAGGTATGAGATGTGGGTCGAAGTTCAGTTGTTCTGCATATAAATAAGTGTCTGCTTTTTCTAACATACTTTGAAAAGATCATCCTCTTTCCTTTGATTGGCTTTATGGTGCTGAAAGTTTTATTCTGAGAATTTGTAGTATACGTCTTCATCATAATTATTCTTATTTGTCTGATTATCATTTGTATTTCTATCCTTAACTTTGCAGTGAGGGTTCTAAAATTTGCCAAGATTTCTCAAGATAAATTATTATTATTCTTTCTGAGTGAAAAATACATTATTTTAGAGGTGGGGGGGTCAAAAGTCTGATGGATCAACTCTACCCAGATTGGCATTTGCAAAATACTGCAGTGATGGGAATACTGGGTCTGGTAAGAGAAGATAATGCTGCTCTGAGCTCTGCTCAGCCATGTTGCCTCATCAAACAAGGAGCAAAACCAGTTAATATTTAAGATCTATTCCAATTCAAAGAGCCTGGGTACTATTCATTGTTGAATAGGGAACCCCAAAAGGATTAGAAACCATGAATCAGGAAAGAAGGGACAGGTCTTGGATACTTTAGAGCTGTCATTGCCACAGTGCCTATTTTCATATAGCTCTGAATGGAGTAGATTCTTTTTGTAATGGCGATCCAAGCTCAAAATGTGGCTGGGAGGAAGGTGATTTCACAACTCTTGCTAACATGTGTTTACAATGTCAGTAGCATGCTTTCTGTTTTTGTTTTAACAGCTGGACCAAGCAACACTCTCCCTAGCTGTGAGGGAAGACTACCTTGATAACAGCACAGAAGCCAAGTCTGTAAGTCTTACTCATATTCAACTATGGGCCTTGTCAGGCTGTTGGATAAATCCCCTATTCAGTGCCCCCATGATCTAGCTGGGGAGACAGCACATTCAAATGAAGTAACAAGGGCTTACTGTCACTCTTCAGATGTGCAAAGGGCTCACTATCCTTTGCAGAAGTGAAATGTGGGGAGGGATACCCATGCTTCTCAAGATTGTAATGTTTAAGAATCACCAGGGAAGGTTCTTGAAGCACATGTCAAGTCCTGGAGAATTTGATTTAATAGACTTAAGGTGATTTAGTAGACTGAAGATTTTGAACAGGTGCCCCAGGTTAATGGAGAGTAATGAGGACCTGAAGGGATCAATCAGGTTAGACTTCTTGGCTGAGCTTTGAAACCTAGTCGTTTCCTGGAGTTTGGAAAGAGTTGATTCATTTCTGACACTTTCAACTCATTCCAGAAACTGTACTGAATTTCCAAAAGAGTCTCAGACCCAGGTATACTGGGTCTGTGCTGATACTAATCTTTATCTATAAAGGTTCTGGAGGGCAAGAAACTAGCCAAGATCCTAGGCAGTTTTCTGGCTGAGGACACTCACCTAAAAAGTAGGCAAGTTTTCCTTCTTGAACATGGACAGAATGAACTTTTACCAACCCAGGGGCACCTTTGTTTCTGCTGATCTCAGCAACCAGGCTTGAAATCATCCCCTCACTCTATAAACAGTCTGTCAAGTCTGAGTAAGTCCACCTTCAAAGTAGCTCTTCCAAAACACCTGGTCCCTCTTTTTCTATCAGATCAGATCCTTGTTCATTCTTTCCTTGACCACAGCAAGTAACCTTGTGAGTGGTACCTCCTCCCCTTTCTTCCATTGGCTACTTAGAGAGGCATTGGTAGTATAGTGGTGAACATAGCTGCTTTCCATTGGCTCACTAGCACTACTTGACAATTTTCATTCTCACAGCACTAATTCCAGCATGCCTTGTTCCCAAGATAAGGTCTAAATTGCTTCAAGGAAGTTCAGGGGCTCTTTATGGCTTGATCTGACCCACACTTCTCAACTCATCTACTTTTCTTCCCTCAACAAAAGCAACTTGTTCTCACTGCTCCTGAATCTGTAGCTCTCAGATGCTATGTCTCTAGTTTTTCCAGGCTGAATTCTCTAGTCCTTGAGTTTCCACACATGTAGCAGCTTTATTAAGAAACTTATTTTGGTCTCTGTAATGTTATGGTTGGTAATTACATGTTTATCTTCCTCACAGGATCACACACTGAGAACTAGACTCAAGCATTATTTAGTTTTTCATCTGTACCAACTTCCCACAGCATGTCAACAAAGTGCCTAACAAGCCACCTTGCATGTGTTTTGTATCTATTGAATATTTTTCTGAATTGACGTGGGAAGGGCAAGACATTCTTTCTAATTAAGACTGGGCAAAGCTTGCTTATTGACTCAGACACTGTTTATTAAGGGCTTGTTGTGCACCAAGAATGGTGTATGTCTTGAGGTCAGTCACGCAATAAGAATAGCTTACAGGATCAAGGTGTATCATAGGGAGAAGGTTCTGTATTTGCTATTTTCATCATCATTTCTTTTCCTTGAGCCAGGGAGGACAACTGTTTAAAAACTGTATAAAATTGAAAAGACCTAGGGCTCAGTCACTGCAATCATCTTTTATTTTTTAGTGTGAAGCTGGGTAAATTGAACTGGAAGAGAATAAATCACATTTCCTACCCGTGTTCATAGATCAGGTTTCCTGCTTTTAGAAACAATTCTTTCTCATTATTTTATTAAAGCCTCACTTGCCTGGGAAGAGGATGCCTGACCTTTCGCTTTCTATTCTGGGCTCATTTGGAGATGTTTCTCGTATCCATAATATCACTGATTACCAGAAAAAGTAGTTCTCCGGATGCTTGGTGGCTGGACATCTTTGTCTGTCATGGAAATAGTACCCACGTGCTTATCACTCTTTTTCTCCCTAAGGTGGTGGGAGGTGCCTGGTATCGCATAACGTCTGTACACAGTGAAAATGAAGAATATTTATTTCCACCTGCTGTTTCTGCTCCTCTGTGTCGCTGAAACATATTTCCTACCAGACTATTGTCATGGTCATTTGCTTCTTTATCTCTTACAGTATCGGGACGCCCTTTACAAGTTCATGGTGGACACTGCCGTGCTTTTAGGAGCTAACAGCTCCCGAGCTGAGCATGACATGAAGTCAGTGCTTAGGTTAGAAACTAAGATAGCTGAGGTAAGTTTTCATTAAAAATATCTTTCTTTCCTTTCCTTTCCTTTAAGCTCATTCATTGTCTATGTCCTGGTCTGCTGTGGCCAAAGAATAGCAATGGGGAGACTTTCTGGCTGTTTTCCTACAGAAACCCTTGTGCAGCTCAAATAGAAGGCAGATGTTTAATAAATCTTTATTGATTTGATTGAGTGGAAGGTTACTTTTTGTTGCTGTTTTGGGGCCAGGGATCATACCTAGGGCTCCACACAAGCTAAGCACATGTCCTTCTACTGAACTACACCCCTGGCCCTAGAAAGTTACTTTTAATCCAGTCTGCTTTTATACCATTCCCACTCTAAGTGAGTCTGCTGAAGGATCTGAGCTTGGGAAGTCTGTCTACCAATACTAGATATAACATTTGATGTAGAACATATGTAGAGAATGCTGGTAAGTATTTTTAAGCTGCCTTTCTGGTGCTACTTTGAATCCATACTTTTTTTCTCATTCTTTTCTTGCTTCCCTGTGATGAATGTCATTGTGTCATATACTATGTTCTGAATTAGTCAACTTAAATCTTTTCAGGCTTATAGTAGAGGCAAAAAGGTATGAAACAAACTTGTGAGAGAATAATGAGAAATTGGAAATAGTTAGCCTTGTTTATAGGGTAACATTTTTTCCCCCTGGAAGAACCAATGTGTAAGAGTCCTAAATGTTCCCAGACCCAGAGAGAACAAGTATAGTGAGATTTGCTTGTGGGGTATGCTTGTAAGAAAAAAATACTTGTATCATGAAGCTTTTGCATTTGGGTTGGTGGTTTTGTAATGGAAGTTGATAAAAATTCTGAGGTTAATAAGAGTCCAAGTGTTTATTGGTTTTGTGTTTGGTGAGGTGGTGACTTTGTGTTGAGGTATGGAATAGGGGTGAAGGGTAGGGTTAGGGAAATAGGTTCTCTCCCTGCTGTAGCAATGTTCACATACACCTCTTTGCAAATTCCTACTTGCAACACAAAAAGTTCATTCCTGCAGGTCACTTTTGAAGACAATGAAGACTGCTGCAGATGTTTCGAAGTTCACAAATGTGCCTCTCAAGCCATGTCTACAGGCTGTCCAGATACCTTATTCAAGCAAATAGAAGGCTCAGAGCTCTCATTTGAACTAAAGCTGTGATACCACAGGGAAGGCCTTGCCCTGAGCGAGGGAGTTGGACCAAAAAGGGAACTAAAAACAGCTGGGATGAGGCAAGACTGGGAATTGTCAAGAGGCTAAATGAAGTGACAAATCCAGTGTGTTTGTGGGGAGTAGCTGGCAGAGAACCGAAAAAAAGTTCTTAGGCCAAAGGGCTCTGACCTGGGCTATGAGCCAGATTGGGGAAGAGGACAAAGGTGGGGGTTGGAAGAGATGTGTGGGCATCATGGAGGCAATGAATCCCATGCAGCCAGGAAAATGTAAGGTATATGTAGCTTCTCCTGTGCAGGACAAGGAGGGAGAATCTAAAGACACTGAAGCATTTAGAAAAGAGGGTACAAATGTCTGCCACACAGCTCTGTGATTTTGCATTAGAAAATCCATGGTGTGTGGATTTTTGACCTGGTAGAAATGCTCTCCTCCTTCCCTTACACTTCAGGCTACTAGGAACACTCAAAATTAGTGAGATACCTAGTCTCCAGAAACCTTCTGAGGCTGAGGAGGCAGAACAACCCAGTCAAGCCCAAATAAGTCCTTGTAAAGACAGCCATGGGAGTGTGTATCTAACCATTAGGAGAGGTCTTATCCATGGAGTGAGTGGCTCTTGTGATTGGAACAAATAAACTTTAATTAAAAGGCCTGCTAGAGAAAATGGATCTCAGGCAAAGTCATAAATCATAATTCAAACCATGAAGGTGGTGATGGTAGATAGGAGGTGCAAGGGGAGGATAGTGTGAGGTGGAAGGTAGCAAGTTTAACACAGGGAATGGAGTGATAGAAGGCCTTACAGCAAAATCACCATGTGCTTCAGGAGTGAATGTGGGAGCTACTGTCTGTCAATGGAAGTTATTAAGATGATCCTCAAGGAAGATAGCCATTGCTGCTGTTCTTAGACTACGTTAAATGTGGTAGAGGCCAGAAGCCTAGATTTGGTGTTGCCAAATGGCCAAGAGCAGGAGTACTGGGAATGGAAAGAGTGTGGAGTGTGGAGAGACTGGGCCAGGATGGAGGTTCTGGAATGTGTGTCTAGGGGAAACTGAATCCATACCCCCAACAGTGGGGCTAAGGGAGTCTCAAGGGCAAAGAAACAGGAGGGGGAAGTGAGGGAATAAGCTGTTGACAAAATGATCACGGGCTGTATCCACATAGCTTAGTGTTCATCATGGAAACTTTGCCCGGGGAGATTAAGGGATGGTCTTGTTGTTCATGAAATGTTGAGATCATTATTTGGAGACCACAGGTGAACATGGAGTATTTGCCTCAATTGTCTGACTTCAGCTTGGCTGTCAAAACTGACCCAGCAATACACTTTGTCTATCCACATGATAGAGGAGGGGATTCTGGGAAGTTCTTTTTACACTAGGAAGAACATTTCTCACTGAAGAGGAGTTTCTGAAATTTCTTTTTATTTTCTTAATCCTGTCTAAAATGCTGTCTTTTTCCCCCATTCCCCTCATCTGTCACTACACCAAAGTCTTGAAAAAGTTTATAAGACTACGCAGATATTTTGGCACATGTAGAAAGTAGTCATGCAGTAGGAAATGATTCATTTGAAAAAAAAATAATCAAGGTGTCTTTCGACAGATAATGATTCCACACGAAAACCGAACCAGTGAGGCCATGTACAACAAAATGAACATTTCTGAACTGAGCACTATGATTCCCCAGGTTGGTGAAAGGAATCCAGGAAAATTTTGGTTCACTGGTCATTCAACAAGTGACTGTTTCACTTCTGTGTGAATTTTTGCCTTGTAAATCCTACTATCAATCTTTTTAGTTATCATCTTTGTCAGCTATTACAGAAAATATTCCTTTTGTGTACATTGGAATGCCTTCTTAGTTATAGGGAACAGAAACATCTTACCAATATGGCTTAAAAACTTAAAGCCCATTTTTTTAATGACAAGTGTCTAGATATAGTTGGTAGTTGGTGATGATTTGGTCTTTTGTCTAAGACCCAAGTTGTTCTAGCTTTCCATTCCATTCCCCTTAGTGTGCTAGCCTTTTGGCATGATGTTTGATAACTCATGGTTCCAAAGTGGCCACCATAGGTCTATATATCATATCTGCCCTCAGGGCAGGAAGATGGGGGAAGGGCCAATAATGGTGATATCTGGGTCTTTTACCGTGAAAAACAACAGCAACAAAAACCTTTCTAGAATATTATCAGATATTCTCCTTTTATTTCTTATTGAGTAGAATTGGGCCATATGGACACGGTAACTATGGTTAGAGGAGTGAACATTGGGCAAGTAAAAACTGGTTGTTCATTTTAGCAGTGGGGATAGACAAGGTAGAGAAGCTTGGTAAGTGGCTTTTAGGGTAGCCAATGTAAACCCCCAAGCAGTATCTTAGGGAACATAGTAATTCTCTGTTGCTGTTTATTTCCTCCCTGTAACAGGGAGAAGACCAGTGATGTACTGAGGCATGCTTTGCTGTGCCTGTGCAGGAGTGAGGGAGGCTACAGGACTGAGGGAGAGGGAGAGAGAGGGTGCTGGCAAGAGGGAGAATGGGGAAGAAGGGAGGGGAGTGCAGGAGATGAGGGGAGTGTGGGAGCAAGAATCCAGGGGGCTGAGACAGCAGGGTGGAGAGAGGATGGTGGAGGAAAGCTCAGAAGGGGTGATGGCTGGAACAGATGAGGGAGCACTGTATATATTACCTTGTGAGCAGGTCTGTCATCCTTGTGTTTATGGTGCAGAATGCACGCTCCGTGATTAAGGCCACACATCAGAGTGTCAATGATCAGATATTATCTTCTGGATAAGTAAATGATGAACAGTGGCATCTTTAATTATTTGGGTGAAACCACAAGAATGGATTATGCTCAGCCTACTTTACTGCTGTCTAGCAAAGGTTCTCACTATTTTTTTTTCTTCTCCCCTCAGTTTGATTGGCTGGGCTACATCAAGAAGGTCATTGATGCCAGGCTCTACCCCCACCTGAAAGACATCGGTCCTTCCGAGAATGTGGTGGTCCGCGTCCCACAGTACTTTAAAGATTTGTTTAGGATTTTAGGCTCTGAGAGGAAGAAGTAAGAACTTTTGTGTGCATTTTACTGTGGCTTTTGTTTTCTTTTTAAATTAGAAGGGGCTTGTCATGTCTTTTGAAATTTTTTTTTTTTTTGCAGAACTGGGGTTTGAACTCAGGACTTGCCCTTGCTAGGCAGGTGCTCTACCACTTGAACCACACTCTCAGCCCTTTTTTTTTGCTTTCGTTTGTTTTCAGATGTGACCTCATGCTTTTTGCATGAGCTGCTCTCAGACTATGGTCTTCCTTCTTCCAGTCGGGTACCACCATGCCCAGCCTGAAAATTTTTTTTAAAGAAAGTTACAACAAAAGAATCACGGGAAAACTCATGGATGCCCTGTGTGACAAATTGGCCCAAATCATTGTCTGGTGTAATTTACTTGTTGTGATGACAACAAATATACCATGTTTTTATCCTTTATTTCTGGTCTTTGTTCATAGTGTTCTCTCTGAGAGCCTAAATTGTTTATTAGTTTTGGGAACTGGTTAGGTAATGATGTTATTTCCTAAGATTTTTTATGAACACATTTTTCTAGGTTATTCTAGGTCTTTTGCTGTTTTTTCCCCAGTTTCTTTTTAGTTAATAAGTTACTTTTTTGGCAATAAACCAAAGTACTTATATTGAGAAGACATAAGACCATTTTGAGAGCTGTAGAAAAATTTCGCTGATGGAACAACTTAAGGAACTGTCAGCTTTTGCGAATTTTAAAGAATGTTCTAGAATTCGTAGCTTTGTTAGTTTAGCACTACAAAAAATCATGCTAAAAATGCCCAGGAAAGAGAAATAAATTTACATGTTCATTTAGCCATTCTGATTTGACTACAGAAAACAATCACAGAAAGGTCAGTGTTTGTAAAAACAATTCACTAAGCTAATGAAAAATCATATTTCCTTAGTTGGACTCTGGCTATGTTGCTAGGAGTTACATAAAAGAAAAAGGCACCTACAAAATTTTGGGGGATTAAATGCAGCACCTGATGCCCCATTGAAACAATTTGTACCCCACATGGATCCCCATGAGGAAAGGCCACTTTTTAACCTGTGTCTTGATGAGAATGATAACCCATGTTCACTGAGGAAAATCTGCAGACAAGGGAGAGAAGAAACAATATAGTCACTTTCAATTCTACCATTTAGAGATAGGTAAGTAGCGATGTTTTTAAAAAATTTGTAAATGAAAATTGAATCTAGTGGTAGGTAAGCGTGTAGGTGAGGCAGCTAGTCCAAGTATGCTTCATGGCCACTATCACCAGCACGTTCGTTACCTTGGGCCCATGTTGAAAATACAGACTCCAAGGCCCTCTTCTATAGAGTCTGCTAATGTAGAGCTGTAAGGACACCCAGGAATCTGGATTTGAAACAAGCATTCCAGGGCAGCATATAATTAGCTTTTTGAAGGGAAGATAGGTGGATAACTGCATTATAAAAGTACTTCTTGCTGGGTGCTGGTGGCTCACGCCTGTAATTCTAGCTACTCAAGAGGCAGAGATCAGGAGGATCGTGGTTCGAAGCCACTCTGGGCAAAATAGTTCTTGAGACCCAATCTTGAAAAAACCCATCATGAAAAAGGGCTGGTAGAGTGGCTCAAGGTGTAGGCCCTGAGTGCCCCAGTACTGCAAAAAAAAAAAAAAAGTATTTCCTACCTTATCCAACATACTTGGGACCAGAAGCACTTTGGATTTCAGATTTTTTCCAGTCTGGGAATATTTGCATGTACAGTAGGCCCTTGGTATATGTAGGTCTATGGTTCCAAGGAGATGACCATTGAGGAAAAACCACAAATGCTCTGGATGCATAGAGTTCAGTGCTATACTGAAGACATTTGCTTCATTTCCCCCAGAACACTGCCCGACTCCTGCTAAAGACATGCTGTGTTTTAGCAAATCTCAAATGTTCATGTTATCACTTAAATTAAGCATGTGTGCCCCTTTTGGTCTGGGAAGATTACCATAATTTTTACCTTACTTTTTGAGCACCATTTGCTTTTTGGGGGACAGATTTTCACAAAATGAAGGGCAAGGAAACACTCAGCAGATCACAACAATTTAAACACAACTGACCATAATGCAGGATTCACTGAGAGCTTCTCCACATCCACTGAGCTGCAAGAATTTAAAATTTATTTTCAAAATTTCTTTTGATTTCCTAAAATGTATTATTTTTGACTGTACTTGATCAGAACCACGTGTAATAAGTCCACAGATAAGATAGGCTTACTGTATATAGTGAAATCTTAGGAATGGCACCCAAGTCTAAACATGAATTTCAGTTAGGCTTCATATACACCTTATAAACATAACATGATGATAATTTTATATGATACTTGTGGCTTGCCTGTATTTTTTCTGTGACCCTTCATATGAGGTTAAGTATGGAATTTTCCACTTACGGTGTCAAGTTGGTTTTTTTTTTTTTCAAGTTGGTTTTGAATTTTGGTGCATTTGGAGTTTCCAATTTTCTGATTAAGGTTGCTCAATCTGTATTGTAATAGGACCCAAATGATTTTCTACTTCTGTGCCAATGAGTTACTGAGTACATTTTAAATTTTGATGGTAATTTCCATTAAAAGGTGGTGTTTGCCATGATTTGTACTCATTGTTTAGCACCTAGTGAGTCAATTTTTTCTAGTGACTCTGTTGCCTTCACTGTAACATAGTAGGTACTTCTGGAAAAATGTATTAATTTTATTTCCAAAATGACCTAATTTACAACCAACGGATACATTAGGTCTTGGTTCACTGTATTAGAAAAATCTAGGGATGCTTATACTTTAGAATTGCATGACTTTCCCTAACAACAGGGACCAGGAAAAACTGCTTGGATGGAGATTTTGCTCTAGTTCTTGTCAAAATGATAACTTAGACAAATGTAAACAGCAGAACAAAATATGGGCAGAAAAATGCCAGCATACATACGTACATGTAAAACTTCATTTAAAAATCATGACAGAAGTGAAATGGTTCATAGCTTAATCTCACTAATCAATTCATCAAAACAACATAAATCTGTGTATTCTTATGAGATTTCAAGACACTCTATGTCTGGAGAAGATTGACAGCGCTGTGCATATCACAGTGAGGCTTTTGCATTATTGTTCTTCCCTCCCTTTCTTCTTCCCTCCCTCCCTCCCTCTCTCTGTCCCTTTTTCCCTTCTTCCATCCTTCTTCCCTCCCTCTTTCCCTCCTCCTCTCTTCCTTTCCCTCCTCTTTCTCTCTCTCCCTTTATCTCTCTCTCTCCCTCCATCATCCCTCTCTCTCTCTCTCCTTCCAACTTTCTCTCTCTCCCCCTCTCTCTCTCTCTCTCTCTCTCTCTCTCTCTCATGGTGGGAATTAACCTAGGACCTTGCATGTGCTGAGCACGTGCCCTATCTGGACTGTTCTCTCAATCCCTGCTAATCATTTGATCTTCACTACTGTAGCCTTACATGGCTAGTTGAGGAAAGGTCCTCTTGGGTCCCCATAGTTACTATGTTAGCCAGGATATGACAGTTGCTGTAATAAGTGCTTCTGAGCTCTCATTGGCTTGCAAAACAAAAACTGTACCCTTTGCTCATGGGGCAGTCCAACATGAGAGTTCCTGTAAGGCAGATTTTTTTTCAAGTAGTGACTTAGGATCTCAGAATCCTTCCATCTTGTGACTCTGCCTTCCTTCTGGGTTTTGGCACCCTCTCCATTCAGTTGGTGGCTGGCAAAAGAGTAGATCTAAGTGCCGACTTCATGTTATACTGCTGTTCCGAGAATCTACTGAAAATCATACCCAGGTTATGATGTTAACCAACATTAAGATTAATAGTTATCCTTGGTTTTATAGCAGTTTTATGTGTTGTTCCCATTTCACAGTTGAATAAACTGAGATTAAGCAATTTGCCCAAGGACATACCTCTAAGAAGCAGTTCTGATATTCTAAATCAGGTCACCCTCATTTCTGTGTCCTATCTCTCAAAGAGACACTTTTCAGATACTTTTCTGCTAGTTTTGGAGATCCGAATTGAATATCCTATATTCAAAATGCTTGGAATCAGTATGGTGGGAGTTCTACACCATGGAAATCTGCAAATGCTGAAAATCATTTTTTGGCAAGGCAGTTGTTAAACATTTACTAGCCAGAAATGGTTCAAGTTTTAGATTTTTTCACTTTTGGAATATTATGTGGTATGTTGGAGATGGGACTCAAGTATAGATATAAAACTCACTTACGTTTCATGTACACCTTACACACAGAGTGTGAATGTAATTTCATAAATATATTTCATGTGCCTGCATTTTGACTGTGCTTTCACATGAGGTCAGGTGTGGAATTTTCCACTTGTGGCATCATGGTGTGCAAAAAGTTTCAGATTTTGGAGCATTTTGGATTTTGGACTTGCAGATTAGAGATGCTTACCCTATACTAGCCTACTGTATCTTCAACTAGTTAGATATTGCTGGTGCTGGCAATTCTTCTGCCATTTTCTAGGTTCCAAAGCTTTCTTGGCTTGGTACCAACTGTTCATTTCTTGGCTGCTGCTCTCCCCTTTAGATCATGCCTTCTGCTAGCCTGGTGGGATGAGGCCTTTCCTTCTGACTGTGGCTACAGGGACAGTAGCACTGACTTATTTTTGAGATATTGGGGATGGAGCCCAGGGCCTTACACATGCCAGGCAAGCACTCTACCACTGAGATACATCCCCAGCCTCTCTTTGATGGGTAGTGTATACACAAAACTAGAGCAGTGAGAACCTGCAGAGGTGGTGATGCCAGAGATTCCCTGGGAGTTCAAGGCAGTAGGTGGCCAGGGTAGGGCCATTGGAGGCATGAGCTAGAGGTGGCCATAGGGAAAAGGAGTTGTGGTCCAGGAAGAGGTCCAGGAGGTGATGAGGTAGGGATGTGCTGGATTCCTCAAGTTATCTGCATCTCTTCCTAGCTCTGTGTTCAGTGATCTTACATCAATAGCTTGAAATCAATATGGCGGGAGTTCTATACCATGGAAACTTCGGCAAGGCAGTTGTTGAACATTTACCAGCCTATCACAGGGTAAGGGGCACTTCCCTCTCTTCTGGCCCCCTCATCTTTCCTCCCTACGCCTGACTTGAGGTTGTCTCAACTCTTCCTTCCCATCTAATTTGATCTGAAGAGTAAGAGAATATGAATATGTGTGAGAGAGCAGGGAGGATGGGGGAGAGGAGAGGAAAGGAGCTATGTGTGAGGAAAGATGAGAAGATGGAGTTTTCCTATACCTCAACCCTGGAGTGCTTATTAAAACAAAGACTGCTGTGCCTCCTCCCCACAGTTTCTAATTCAATAGGGCTAAGGTGGAACTTTCTACTAACTTTTGCTAGTCTGGGCAGCCTATAGAATTTAGGAAGATCTTGGACTATTGAGAACCTTCTGGAAGAACCACTCTGGCTCACTTCAGATAGTTTGATGAGGAGAAGCAACAGCAAGATAGAGTCTGGAGACTTAAATGTTAGTCTTGGGTTGAACACTTTTTTGGTAGTCTGTTGATCTCTGACCTTTGGGTTTTTTTTTCATCTGAAAATGGGATAATAATAATAACCACCCCATAGCACTGTCATGAGGATCAAAGAAGATATTTTATGATCTCTTAAATGTAATGTAAATGTAAGCTGCCACTAATTGAGAACATGTGGCTCCAAAAGCTTCTTTAAAAAAAAATCTTCCAAGTCAGAGGCTTTGGGGAAGGATTTCATGTTGCTCTCTTCATGGTGGGCCTCTTCTGGGATGATTTCCTTTCCTTTCCTTTATTTATTGCCATTCGGGGAAATTATGGTACTGCCAAAAATGCATTTTGGGGAAAAAAAGATATTATGTGTCATTTTCAAGGAGTTGCTGAGTCTGATTTTTGTTTTGTTTTTTGATGTATCTGAGCATTAGGTGGCAGTGACTCAGTCATTATGGTCATATCTGTTCCTGGCTTGGTGATATTAACACTCTGAAACCTGTGCTCCATAGCGTTCTGTCAGCATATTTATAACACACTGGAGCAACTCATCAGCACCATTGTCTCACTGTGTGAGCTTCCCAGCATTCGATCTTCCTGCTTTCAGAGCTCTTGTTGTTACACTATCATCTTAGCAATGCCTTAGCCAGGAAGGTTTCACTGATCTCTTTTGTGCCCACAAATTTCTGCAAAATACCTTTGTTGGAGTGTTTTGGGGTCTCTGTGATTGGCTAGGAAATCTCAGCTGAATTACAGGCTCTTACTCATCACTGTGTGGTGGAGGGAAAAACATATAGGCTTTAAGGTTAGACACACCTGGCTCTGGTATAGCCTCCATGGCTTATTACAGTGGTTCTTTGTCTTGGCTGCATCTTGGACTTGGTGTGTGTGTGTGTGTGTGTGTGTGTGTTTATTTTTTATTTTATTTTATTTTATTTTTTAAAATTTATTCACATGTGCATACATTGTTTGGGTCATGTCTCCACCCTGCCCCCCTCCCCCACCCTTCCCCCCCTCCCCTCCTCAGTTCCAGGCAGGTCCTGTTCTGCCCTTGTGACTGATTTTGTTGAAGAAAGGACATACGCATAATAAGAAAGACAAAGTGTTTTTGCTAGTTGAGTTAAGGATAGCTATACAGAGAGATTCCTACTATTGCTCTCATGTACCCATGTGTTACGACCCATGTTGATTCAACTCTAAGTGATCTTAACATTGGTTCCTGATCCCCTGCTCATAATAACCTGTCATTTTAAGGTTTCTGTATTAGTTCCTCTGGAGTGGGGACATCAAACGCTTTCATGTTTTGGGTTTTCTACCTATTCCTATATCTCCTGTATGTGTTCTCCCCTTGTCATGTGATCCAAGTCCAACCACGTTGTTGCATTTGCCCTAGATCTAAAGTCCGCATATGAGGGAAAACATACGATTTTTGGTCTTCTGAGCCTGGCTGACCTCGCTCAAAATGATGTTTCCTTCCCTTTTTCTTCTTCCCATATTTCCACTAGGTAACGTTTCTATCCCTGAACTATATGCAATTTAATATTAGCTGGTTTACAATATTAATACTAACAAGACCAAGAGAGAAGGATAAAAAAGAGAGAGAGATGGAAAGATAAAAGGAATAGAGAGGAAAAGAAAAAAAGTAGAGATGGTGGATGATCAAACAGTAAAACAGGCAGCAAATACCTTAAAGAAGGGAAAAAAATTACAATTAAAAGAAAAAAAAAGAAAAAAAATCACCCATTCTGGAGCAGTAGAATTGCAGTCTTAGTTGTTCTGATGCTAGTTCTTTAGCATCCAGACCTGTCTGTGTGTGTCTCTTAGGTAGGTTTGGAGCCTTCCTGTGGCAAGTGGACGGTGGTGGGGTCACAAGGGCCTTCTGGTGGAGGCCTTTACCTGAGGTGAAATAGCGGGCTTTTGGAGCGTGGGCTTGGCGTGCCTGAAGGGCGCAGGCTGTCGGAGTGGAGATCCTGCCTCTCTATGGATCCCTGACTTGACAGGCTTGGGGGGCGTGGTCCAGCAGAACAGAGATCATGCATGTGTGGGTCCCCGGCTTGTCAGGCCTTAGGGGCACAGGCTTGCAGAGTGAATATTGTGCAGGGCTGTATAGGCCTTGGGGGCGTGGCCCAGCAGAAAGGAGATCGTGGGGGTTTATATCTCCAACGCGGCAGGCCTTGGGGGCATATACCAGCAGAGCAGAGATCTTGCAGGGCTGGGGGCGCGGTCCAGTGAAATGGAGCTCCTGCAGGGCTGTGTAGGCCTTGGGGGCGTGGCCTCTTTATTTTTTTAAAGCAATATTTATGCTGAGTCCTACTCTAGAGATAGTGATTGAATTGGCCTGAGTGTTCTGGGCTTTTATTTAAAACTCCCTAGATAATTCTGGTAGTTTGAGAGCCCCTGACTGTGTGATGAAGAGTTTACTTAATGGTGTGAAGATTTGTTTGCCTCATCTCCCCTGCTCAGGTAAAAGCTTCAGGAGATAAGGGTCTATATCTTTGTCACCTCTCTATCTTCCCAGCACCTAGAGCTATTAATATGGATCTGGGTGCTCAGGTTGTGCTGAGTCAATGAAAGAAGGGTCTCTTAAGTGTTTACAGTGTGTCCCTTCAATTAAATAAACCCAATTATAATAACAAGCTGAAATCTTGAGTTCTTCAGTTATAGGTGCTGGGTTCCTGCATATTTACATTCCTCATGGTTCCAGGTTGCAACACTTGGCCCACAGTGAGTGCTCACTCAGTGAGTACTTCTTGTCTTGCTCAGGAGTAGGGAGGTGTATGCAAAGGATCTGAAGGAATGGCTTAAAATGGAATGTTTATTATAGTGCCTAAACAGAAATGGCTGAGGGCTAGCCTTCAGTGATTTGGGCAGTGGTCTCTGAGAAGTGTGCAAAATCCAATGAGGCCCCTTGGGTCCAAAAGAAAATATTAGAAGTTCTATGTCTTTCTTTTTAAATTAAGAATAATAAGGCTTTATTGAGCTCTACTACATAGATGGCCATGGACCCTTTATTTGGTTCATATGGCACACATGAGGGGTGACACTGTCAGTCGCTGGTTTTCATTTGATAATATTGAAAATAATCTTTGAGTTGTATACCTGTAGACTTATGAATTTTATTACATAGTTTTAATCGTCACAACATGGACAAATGGCCTAAAAATTCTTGCAGAGAAATATGAATTGAAACTATTACTAATAATGTAAGCATAAATGAATGGCACGAAAGTGCATACGTGGCTCTTCCCCCACGTTTGTTTGCCATCTTGGGTAGCCAGAGGACAAGGGGAGAACAATGGTGATCCAAACAGATCTGACAAGGGTATGTAAAAAATGTTCAAAATAGTAAAAGAAGGTTATATGAAATGTTGATTTACATCAATTGTCATTGTTGTTTTAATCTAACCTTATGTGAGTAATGTGTCTTAAAGTATGTTTAATGTGTGCGTGAAGAATTAAGTTATGACTTTTGAAAACACTTTTTTCTCTTAAAATTCCCATTTCCATATTTGTTATGGATGCAGAGGCTTCTGCCTGTAATCACAGTACTTGGGAAGTGGAGGAAGGAGGGTCACGAATTCAAGGCCAGCCTGGGCTACATAGTGAGACAGCCATATACTGGTGTATATGCTGAAAAATCTTTTGCTCATTGGAGTATGTGTCCACTACGTTAGAGTTCCTTGCGAGTAAGAGTATGGGTTGTTCTTGATGGGCTGGTTCACGTCATCATGTCCCACTGCTGTCACATTTCTAGTTGAGCCAACAGCCGTCTAAGGAATGTGTGTTATTAGTCGCCATAGTAATGGCACAGCTGGGAGGAGACGGGTCATTAAAAATCGAGCATCACTCTTGAGTTAGAAATTAACTCAGATCACACATCCTTCTGAGGTCAGGGTATATTTTGCTTATAGAAAAAGAAAACACTTAAAATGTAACAGATTTTTGGAAATATGTATCATGAACATTACAGGAGCATATGGCATTGTTCATATGTTTGGAACTGAATTTATTCTTTGTCAACATGTTGTCATTTATCTTAATCTCGAAGTAACCCTGTGAGGTAGGGATCATCCTCACTGTGTTCCAAGGAGAGATCAATCAGGGAATGACTTGCCTGAGCACACATATTTAGTAAGTATAGAACCAAGGTGCAAATTTAGATGACCGGTATTAGCTAGCATTTTTGCTTTTAGTTTCTAAAGGCGAATTATGCATGAGCAATGTCTTAAATCACCTATAATTTAAAGGTATTCACATTTCCAGATACAGAAGCCTGTGATTCCATGCCATGAGAGGGATAGCCAAATGTTGATCCTCAGGCTTGGGGATGGAATCTTTATTTCATCTATCTGTTGTAGTTGGTGAAAGGCAAGTCAATTTTAGTTGTGCTTATTGCCGTTGTGTCATCTTATATCATTTTTCAAAGGAACGTGCTGCATTTTTATATGAACAAGAGGTCATCTTGTGGAGCTTTGCCAACAGTTTTTTCTGAAGGTGTTCTGTAGAGCATCGGATATCAACCTAAATACAATTGATGTGCATTTTTCTCTGTTCACAGGACCATTGCCAACTATTTGGTGTGGAGGATGGTTTATTCCAGAATTCCAAACCTTAGCAGGCGCTTTCAATATAGGTGGTTGGAATTTTCCCGGGTAAGTTTAATGTCGCAATGTTATATCACTGGATAACTTTGCATGCCAGAACAGTCTGTATAATATCTAACACAATAAAAATCATCTTTAAGGATGGAACACAGGGAGTTTGCAGCCCAAGCTCTCTACTTTTGTTTATTTGCTTATTTATTTGGTGCTTTCTTTCTTTTTATTCAGGTATAATGTATATAAGTAAAAATACACTCAAGCTCTATTTTGGGGAAACTTAATAGTATTTAGGGTGATACTGAGGGCCATAGTATTGTTTTTAAACTCCCCCTCTTATCAACTTATTTCCTTTTTTGAAAGTGCTGGGGTTTGAACCCAGGGCTTCAAGCTTGTGAGACAGGTAATCTACTGCTTGAGCCACGCTGCCAGCCTTTTTGGTTTTGGTTATTTTGGAGCTAGGGTCTCACTTTTTATCCAGGCTGGACTGAACCATGATCCTCTTACTTTGTGCTTCCCACTGTGGCTGGGATGACAGGAATGTGCCACCATGCCCAGCTTTTTTATGTTGAGGTGGGGGTCTCACAAACTTTCTTGCACTGACTGGTTTGGAACTGTGGTCCTCCAGAGCTCAGTGTCCCAAGTAGCTGAGATTGCAGGTGTGATCCGCTGGCACCTAACAGTTATTTCCATTTTCCCGGTGTTTTTAATTGGGTCGCTGTGATTATAGTTTTAACATTTCTTAGTGATATATTTGTAACTATCTTTTTAAAGTGGTTTTTTATTCATTTTTATTTCTTCAGTTTTTCATTGACAAATAATAGTTGTGACAATTGTGTATATTCATGGGGATACAATGTAATGTTTTGATCTATGTATACATTACAGAAAGATTCAGCCATCTAATTAATCTATCCATTACCTTACCAATGTATTGGGTTTTTTTTGTGTTGGGAATGTTAAAAATCTATTTTAGCAAATCTGAAATATGCACTTATTAACTCTGGCCACTATGCACAGAAAGATAAACACTACATGATTTCACTTATATGTAGAATCTATAAAAGTTTATCTCGTAGAAACAGAGTAGAAGGTGGCTATCAGAAGCTATGGAAAGGAGAGCTATTCATGAAAGGGTACAAAATTTCAGTTAGACTGGAGAAATACGTTTTAATGGTCTATTACACTACTTTTATTTTCAGGATTCTGAACACTCAGCATGTGCATGATATATGTGTTAGATGGTTTAAAGTTTCATTTTTAATTTGAGGATAGAGTTCTGTCTTTATGCCCATCTTCAATTTTGAATCTATCCTAATTCCGCTAAGCCCACAAGGCCCACCCTAATTTTGTCTCTTCTGAGACCCCCTCAAGTACCTGAATGAATTTTCCTCTCCCTACTCACCTGGCTCTTGAGTCTTAGCCCCTCGTCTACCCTTGCTACCTCCTAACTTGCACAGATGTTACTCTCATCTGTAGTCCTGAGGCTTGTGTCTGAGTGATTCTGCCATTAGAGGATTTGAGAATTTTGTGACTTTTAAAATACTTTATTTTTCTATCAATTTATAGTTAGGTGAATAGTAAATCTCATAAGCTCTCAATTCACTTAACAAACTTTTTAGCTATTAGAGAAACTAGTAAGTACAGAAATTCTTAGTGGGTCATTATGCTTGAAGAGTGATACAGATTTTTGGGGGTGCAGTATGACCCTTTAAAATCACTAGAATGTGAAATCACTTTAGAGAAGATAGCATAAAATAAGTACATATATTTAGGTCATATCAAATGGTTATGATACAAAACAAGTAGGTATTTTCAGTGTGAGTGTATTTTTAACTCCTATGGATCACATAAAAGATGGTACCCAGCTGCTTTCCACCCCCACTGTGAAGAGAATGAGAGAGAGAGAGGTGTAAGAAGTACTGTGCGAAAATTTGAGGTTAGGTATGAGGGGATGTTTCTTGAGCGTGAAGTACTAAATATAATATTGAATTGCCAAAGAAGGTTGTAGGATCTCTTTCTCTGGAGGTTTTAAAAATAGATTCAATCTCTCCCCTCTGAGAGGGGTCGTGTTCCCAGAAAGCAGAGGAAAAAAAGATGAACTGAAGTGTTAATCCCCTTTGCCTTACTCCAATAACCTGGCTATGACTTGCTACAAGGGGCACTTTGGACCATCATTCTTGGATCCTCCCTCCCTCACTGCTTGCCTGCACCCCCAACCTCCAGGGTCAATTTAAATAGCATTTATTTCTCTGCATTCTTCCCCAAGAGTAAACCTTTGAACCTTCTAAGTCCTGTTTTCAAAGTTCCTTACTTGTTTGTAAATGTTTTCTTACCGAGCTATAATAGGGACCGATGGGAAAAACGTTTACATCTGTATTTTTCTTGTTTACCAGTGTGTTCTCTGCTATGACACAGTGTAAATATGCTGCCTGCTTTGCTCATGGTTGACCATATTCTCCTGGTCTGCCTTGTTGAGTGTACTATCTAGAGCAAGGAAATCCTCCCTTGTGGGAATTTTGATCATCATTATTCTATACTTTGAATGCTGCAACTTCACTTCCCAATTGATATTTATTGCTACCTGGAGGCTTGAACAGCATTCCCTCATGTCATTGTTGACTGCAAAAAAAGCCTCGCCATTGGTCAGATCCTTTGCTTAATAGAGAAAACTGGAATAATGGCAAAATACATCATTATTTTTTCACTGTCAAAACATTTTCACTTAGGTTTAAATATAACTAGGGACAAGATACTTTTCTTCATCTGATTTTAGCTTTGCCTCTAGTGTCTGGTTTGAAGTGTGCAATGTTTTATAGACTGTTTTCTTTGGGCAGTTTGAATTTTTTTTGGCCATATGCTTTGTCCAAATGAAGCTCAAACTGGATCAATTATCTCCCACAGGTAATCCAGGGTACCACAACTTTGTTGCCTCAGTGGGACAAATGTGTAAACTTTATCGAAAGTGCCCTTCCTTATGTTGCTGGAAAAATGTTTGTGGATGTGCACTTCCAGGAAGATAAGAAGGAGATGGTAAGTGGAACTTCCCAGCTGATTAAAAAAAGCCAGCGTCAGTCTACCCAGATCTGACAAAGACATAATCAACAGGCCACAGTCATTCTTCTAGCAGGGTAGAAATCTGTAGGTGTCTTTTCAGGGAAATGGGTGGGTGAACCGATATTGAAGACTGGAGGAGAAAGAAGGTGTGAAATACCTGTCCAGAGAGGTGGGAAAGTGACTCACTGAGGAAATTTAGTATGGCTGCTTGAAGGCAGGCGAAGTCTAGGTCTAGGGAGGTTTGAAGTTATGATTTTTTTGAGACAGGGTCTGGCTATGTAGCCTAGGCTGGCCTTGAACTCACAGTCTTCTTGCTTCAACCTCCTAAGTACCAGGACTATAGGCTTGCACCACAACACTTGCCTCTTTGGAAGCTTTATGTGTGTATGTGTGTGTGTGGTGCTGGGGATCGAACCCATGGCCTTGCACGTGCCAGACAAGTGATTTACCACTGTGCTACATCCCCATATCTTAATGTCATGAATTTAAAGAGAGACTCGTTACCATGGAAACATGTTCTTCTCCATCTGTTTCAGCTGCATTGGAGGAGAGGGTGCATTTTTTTTTCTCCCAGCTTTACTCGCGCATCTTTGTCATATAAAAATTGTATGTATTTATTGTGTGCAATGTGATGATTTGATACACATTGTGAAATGAATACCACAATCAAATCAACATCCATTACCACACTTACCATTTTGTGTTTGCATGTATGTGGTAAGGAATTTAAGATCCACTCTCAGCAAATTTCAAGTATACACACATTATTAGTGACTAAAGTCATCACACTGTGTATGGTCCCCAGAACTTACTCATTTTACAACTGAAAGTTTGTATCCTTTGACCACATTGTCCCGCTTTTACACCCTGGTAGCTGCTGTTTTACTTTCTGCTTCTATGCGTTCAACTACTTTTTAAGATCCCACATATAAGAGAGATCATAGTGTATTGTCTTTCTGCAATTGGCTTATTTCACTTAGTCTAATGTCCTCCAGGTCTATCTCTGTGACAAAAATCAGGATTCCCTTATATGTTGTGGCTGAACAATATTCCACTGCGTGTGTCAGTGACATATATTTTCTTTATCCATTCCTTCATTGATGGTCATTTAGGTTGATTGTATAGCTTGACTATTAGAAATAATGCTGCAGTGAACATAGGGTTGCAAATGTCTCTAAGATACTTATTTCATTTCCTTTGGATATATACCCAGTAGCGAGATGGCTGGATTGAATGGTAGTCCTATTTTAAATTTTTAAAGGATCCTCCATACCATTTTCCATGATGGCTGTATCAGTTTATATTCCCACCAACAGTGTACAAGGTTTCTTCTTTTCCACATCCTAGCCAACACTCATAGCTTTTGACTTTTTCACCATAGTGATCCTCACAGGTTTGAGGTGATAGTTTATTATAGTTTTGATTTGTATTTCCCTGGTGATTAGTGACGTCCAGAGCATTTTCATGTACTTGCTGGCTCTTTGTATGTTTTTGGAAAAATGTCTATTCAGGTCTTTTGTACACTTTTAAATTAGGTAGTTGTTGTTGTTCTTTTTGCTATTAAGAGGATATATCTTGAATTACAAATTTCTATTTAGTCAGATTTTTACGTGCATTTTCTTTTGATGAATTGTATTTTTAAAATGTCATGAAGCAAAATGTCCAGGTATGATTAATAAAAATCCAAGTATTCAGTGACATACATACAAATAGGTAAGCACCTTGGATGCAGGTAGTCAATAAACATTGAATTTAAAGGCAAAGACATACAAGCCTAGTAAGCCATGATGGCTCATATGGTTGATGTTCTATAATGATACATAATAATGCCAAATGATTGGTGTTATGTACTGGAGTTTGCTTAGGAATACCATAAATCTAAATACATTTTCCTGTGTTAATTTGTTTTTATTGCCTTCAGATACTTTTGAGAATTTCTGTCAAGTTTGAGACTTTATATTTGAAAAAAGTCCTCTTGTGAGTAATTCCACTGAGGAATTAAAGTCTTGTTTCAGAATACTCAATGTTATATTTGTGTGTGTGTGTGTGTGTGTGTGTGTGTGTGTGTGCGTGTGGTTTTTTTGCTCCTTGGTCAGAGTAAATGTATGGAGAGCTTATCAAATAATTACAGTGGTAACATTAAAAGCTCTGGGAAGGATATATACATAAAATTAGGGATAATGGAGTTTTTACCAAAACTATATACAGTGGGAGGGTTTTTTGGCAGTAGAAGAATTTTAACTAATATGAAAGCTATGTGGATTAAATTTGTTTTTCTCAGTTTTGGTGCAAAAGTTCCTTTTTCATGTGTTAGGGTGTGACATTCTAAAATGGAGTTGATTTTGGCAACTTTTCCTCTTATTTTTGTGTACATGAGGGTATCATGTTAATTACACAGATATTCATCTCTTTTACACAAAATTATTTGCCTCCCTTATGCTGAAGCTATTGGCCTCAGGGAATACTTAAGTTGGAAACTTATAAGAGAAAAATCTGGCTTTTTATAGCCTTGTTATAGGGCTCCCATCCAAGAACCACCTGGAACCACTGATTTACTTGCAAAACATTCTGTATTATTAGCTACAGTCCAAAGGAAAAGAAAAACAGAAAGATCCCCAATGGGGCAAATTCCAGAGACTAACTCAGACTGAAAGGCTGCCATTGTTTATTTACCATAAAAGTTTGTCAAGCAAATGATTATGATCAGAAGGCTAAAGTTTAGGTACTTCTCAAATTTTAGTGTGTACAAAAATCGCTGGAGGATCTTCTTGTTAAAATGCAGACTCTCATTGCAAGATGCGGAACTGCATTGCATTTTAACAAGCGTCTTTTATAACTTGGTTCAGGGTAGGGTCCAAGAATTTGCCTAACAAGCTCCCAAGAGTTGCTGCTGTTCCAGAGACCACACTTTGAGTAGCAAGACCACCTCAATTGCTTGTAAAGAGTTACAAGCCCTGGTGATTCATGGGGAGCAGGCCAGTCCACTTGGACAGCCATATTTCCTTCATCAAAACCTGTTGCATTGCTGCAAGTACTTCTTTAATTTTTCCATTGAAAAATACTAATTCAGATTGGTTTAAATGGACTTTGTCAAACCTTGTGTGGGGGTATCCCCCCGCCTTCTGCCTCCAGACTATTTAGTTTGCCTTTGAAAACTGGTACCCTGGTTTTTCTAAAGAACTGTTGTTCCTCTTTAGTATCTGTTTTTACAGCCTCTTGATTGCAGGGTTGGTCCAACTGCCTCTGATTGACACCCTCTGTTGTTCATGGTGAATGAGAGAGCAATTCACTTCATGGTTTCCTTCCTAGAGGGAAAGTACCTTCCTCCCCACCCCATGCTGCTGCAAACATGAAATTCTTAATAACTTACCTACTTACCCACTTCTTTTTACCCTGGGGGAAACATATAATTCCACATTACTCTTTCCTTCTGACTTTGTTATGTGCAAGTATACACGGGCACATGCAGGTATACCAGTTGCCCACTTTTGCTCATTTACTCACAGAACTATGGAAATTTAACAAATTTAAGACATGTGGAATAGAATAATCCTTCAACAGAAAGCCACCTAAGGTTAGCTAGAACAATCTTGTGCCTTTCAGATGGTGGAACAGAGCTGTTGGCTACAAGCCTTGCTTGTACCTAAGGGACAGGCCAGTGGGGTAAGAGAAGGGAGATGTAGAACTCTTTGGAATGTTGTTATCTTTGTGGCCTGAAGTAACACTACCCAATAGAACTAGAATATGAGCCATGTATGTTAAAGTTTTCTAGTAGCCACATTTAAAAAGTAAAAAGAAATGGGTGGAATGAATTTTAATAGTGTATTTTGTTTAATCCAATCTATCCAAAATATTGTCATTTCAATGTGCAATAAATAAAAATTATTAATACAATAGTTCTTATGCTTTTTCTCATATTAAGTTTTAAAAACCCGTGTATATTTTGTATTTATAGCATATCTCAGTTTGGACTAGACACTTCAAGTGTTAGGTCACTACGTGTTCTTAAGTGGCCATCATATTAGACATTGCCAATCTAAAGAATCAAAGAAGGACACCATGAGCTCATTGTGACAGAGTTTAGTCTCTAGGTGAAAGGCTGCTAGTAGCCATGACTGGAGGGTGACATTGTTTGTCCTGGCCAAATGGGATACTAACATCAGAAGAAAAGGACTCAAGCAACACCAGGACTCATGACCTGGGAACAAGGGTGGGAGTTGGAGGCAAAGTTCTGTTTTTCTGGGATACCACCTTAGAGAAGGAAGGAAATTTCCGACTCTACTCTGAGGCAAGCACTTTGGAGGCTTACTTCTCATTGGCTCAGGGATTATGTGGGAGGAGTCTGCAAGCTAAAAAGTTATTCAGTGCCTTGGATGTGCAAAGGACTTGGTCAACCCAAAGCCAGGGATTCCAAGATCAAATAAACTCCACAGACAGTGAGTGGCATTAAATAATATACAGGAATAAAACTGAGTATAGACAAAAGCCAGGGCATGTGCAATGATAACTGGAATTGCCCTTGATCTTGGTATCTGGGGCATGAAACTGGTGAATAAGAGTGCATGTACTATCCAGGATTCAGCCCAGACTAATTTCTAGCCAGTTATTGTCATGTAAAAACACAGGCCTAGGGGTACTAGATTGATATCTGGGTTTTAGTTTTTACTTCTTTGGGGGGAAGTCAGAACTTCCAATTTTTATGTGTAATCTCACACATTTTAAATCTTTGTCAATATTCTGGAGGCCAAAGTAAATATGTCCTAGAGATACCATTTTGTGGCTTTTGTATTAACATTTTCCCCTCCTGCTCTTTTTCTCCCTCTCTCCAGGCTTCAGAACCAAATATCATAACCTTACCGGTCAGAAGACTTTAATTTTTTATCTTATATATATAAATATTATGTATAATTTTTAAATACATTATATTAAGTTAGCATTTAATGAGTGACTTTTGTGGAAAGTTATACACAGGATAG